AAAACTTAAAATGTTATTTTTATATTTAATTAATTGCAAGTAATATACATTTGCAAGAAAAAGTTTAAAAATTTTTAAATAATATACTACTCGAAGAGTTTTATTTTATTCTTATAGAATAGCGATTGTTTTTATTTGATAATTTTGATTTTCTTAAAATTTAAGTCTGTGTGAATAGTAAATTTGTAGAAATTTAACAATTTACCTTTTTATAAACAAATATTTCATTTCATTAGCATACATGAATAAAAATACTTCAAAATATCTAAAACTACCAACATCGATAATATATAATTACTTGTGATTATTACAAAATAGCCATAAAAATAAACACACATTTATCATCATTTAAATATACGAGTATATAGATATAAAATACGTTAAAAAGTCAAGTATTGAAACTTCCAAAGAAAATTATACACTTAAAGATATTTAAATCCAAAAATATAATCAATAAAAATATTGAAACTCAAACTAAATAGTTGATAGATAAATTTTTAGTTAAATTTAAATTAAAATCGCAAAGTTTTAATATCGACAGTCACAGTTTCTCTCCCAAAATATAAAATGAAAGATTTTCTAATACAAAAACTGGAAAATATTAAATATTTTTTAGAATTTGTTAGTTTGTTAAAATTAAGTTCATATAAGTAAAAATTTTGTTAGTATAAAATTTTAGTTAGTATTAATTTTTAATTTATCTACGCACAATTATATAAATAAACAAAAAAAAAATTCAGAAAACATAAAAACAACGAAACTTTAAACAATAAAAGTGTATCTCAGATTTCACTACTTGAAATAATACATTTCTCTAGAACTACGAAAAGAAGCTTCAACTGAAAAGGTAGACAAACCAAACTAAAGTCAATATTTTTCTGTTTAAAAAATTAAAAATAATATTAGCTTAAAGTGTTTTAGAAATTTCTTCTCTTCAATGTGCTATATTTTCACAAAGACTCTTGCTTCTCTTAAAATTCCATCAAAAACTTTTCATTAAAATTTTTAATTTTTTGTCAGCTATAGCCTTAGCCACATGTTTTCTTTTTCTTAAAAATTCTTTTAAAATTTGAGATATTAATTTTAAATTATTTTATACCGGAGTTTTGGGTAGTTTCCGTCTAGTCGGAGATGCCGGTGATTTGTCTGTTGTGGTTTCGGGGTCTGTTGATTATTTGATTGTAGTAGTTGTTGTGATTTGGTAAGACATGTTTTTTTTGTTTGATTAAACAAAGAAAAATTTAAATGAAAACCAAATTAATTTTGTTTAAAACAGACAAAAAATAGTTGCTAATAAAACATAAAACTTGTAAAATTGATTTCATTTATTATAATTATCTTTAATATTTACATATTTTAGTGAATTGATAATGTGCGCATTGTTTACAACATATAGCATAAAATTGGAATAAAAATATTCTGACTTACCAGCAATGAGACCCAATCCTACAGGACCATCGCCCGAACGACGAGGGCCACTTTGTCCGCCACTATTACCAGGCGGCAAATTCTCATCGAAAAGATCACACATACGAAAATCTGTTGCATGTTCCACCAAAAGTTCAACTATGTCACCAGTACGATCCATAATAGAACAAACTTCTTCGAAACTGCGATCAATTAATGACATACCATTCCACTCCAGTATCTGAAAAATTAGTAATTAATCATTTATTTAAAATATGTTGGAACTATAATAAGACATTTTTTTTAATAGAAAGTAATCATATGAATTAAAAAATTCATTATACAGTCATAGTTTCTTAAATAAATATATTTAAATTATATTAATCAACTTTTTATAAATTATTTTAATAATCTAAATAATCTCAATCTAACGCATAGACTAAATTTCCTCGAAACGCATCTTAGTATTCTTTACAAGTACGAAATGAGTTCCTTACTGCAATACAATATATCAACACCTTCGAGTAGATTCCAAAAATCATTGTAGTAGAAATGACTAATGGCTTCAACAAAAATAACTTAAAATGATTCTTGATAATTAATGAAGATGATTACGCGGGTGTTCAGCAAATAAATATCACAATCTATCTTCATATATTTCAAGATTATCCGCGGAGTTATTAAGTGTAAAATCAACGGAACACACTGTGTAACCAATATGATATGTATTCGATATCAAGTCCTTTGAGAAAAGTATTCACTAATAGCATATTTTAAATAATTTGTGAAAATAATAAATTACCCTAAATCATTGAATGGTATTATTAAAAAAGTTATTTAAATAATTAATATAAATATTTAGCTTTGAAATTTAAACTAAAATATAATATTTAATTAAATTAAAACATTTAAAATTATATTTTTTCGAATTATATTATATTAAAATTAATTAAATAAGTTAGAGGGGTTCGAATAGAAATGAAAATACAACAAAAATGTACTTGACAATACTCAAAACAGCGTTGTATGGTCAGTCAAATATGAATTAATTAGTTAAAATTTTTGATGTTGTCTTTTCATTTTTATTTGAACCCTTCTAACCTTTAAATAGTTTCTTTTCGTCATAAGATGCGTCACTTTCGGCAAAAAAAATTGACATTAAATTAAATAAGATTAATTTATAAATTTAATTATAATTTAAATTATCTTACTAAATTGGCTTATATTCATTCGAAGGAATTTCATACCTTTTTACTATATCTTTTTAGAACTATAGAAAATGGATCCCTTAAATTATTGTTACTAAAAATTAATTAAATAACAATGTTGTACCACACGATGAATTTAATTCAACTCCTTTTAATATCTATTTGTTGATTCAAAATGTTATATACATATATATTTTCTTATTACATATTTCTATTTGTTATTTTGAACATACTTAAGGACGAAAGTTTTCGGATTCTCATTTAAAATTCGCGCGCTGTATATTTTTCGATATTTTAAGTTTCGAAGATTTAACATTCGGAAGCTTTCATACATTTTACTATATCTTTTTTAGAACTATAGAAAATGGATCTCTTAATTATTGTTCTAAAAATTAATTAAATTAATGTTATACCACACATTAAATTAATTCAACTCTTTTAATATCTATTGTTGATTTAAAATTTATGTAATATTATTTTTCTTATTACTATTTCTATATTATTTGACATACATTAAGACTGAAAAGTTTTCGGAAATTCTCATTTAAAATTCGCTCGCTGTATATTTTTCGATATTTTAAGTTTATGTAGTTTGGCAGCACTGTCCTTAATTACTATGCCAAAAATGAGCGCGATCTGTCAGACAGTTCGTTTACGGCAGCTGTTGAAACCAGTTCACCTCAGTAGTGCGTTGCGAAAAAAACAATGGAAAAAAATATTGAACAAAGAGTTTGCATCAAATTTTGTGTTTCGAACGAATTTCGTGTGCAGAATCGTTGCGAATGCTACAAAAGGCTTATGGGGAATCAGTTTTATCGAAAACTCAAGTTTATGAGTGGTACAAAGCCTTTCAGGACGGTCGTACGACCGTCGAAGACATTTCGCAACGCACTACTGAGGTGAACTGGTTTCAACAGCTGCCGTAAACGAACTGTCTGACAGATCGCGCTCATTTTTGGCATAGTAATTAAGGACAGTGCTGCCAAACTACATAAACTTAAAATATCGAAAAATATACAGCGCGCGAATTTTAAATGAGAATTTCCGAAAACTTTTCAGTCTTAATGTATTACACTCTAAAATATACTTTTCTAAACTTCAGCAATCTATCACAATGTTTTTTAAAATAATTTATATGGAATTTTTTATGCTATTAAATCTCTTCCATCTGAGGCACAGTTTCATTATAATTAAATTTTTATAAAATACATGAAAAATTCTAAATAAAAGATTTAATTATATAAAAAAATACCAAAAAAAAATTAAATTTAAATAAAATTTCACTCTAATTTTAAGTGGGAAGTTTATTATGCATAAATATATAAAAATATATTTAATGTTGGAGAAACCTTCTCCTTTTCCACATAATAGAATTCACATGCCATGAGGCAAAAACACGTATAAACACATGGAAAAGCAAGTAGAACTGAAATTGAATAGAAAAAAAATTAAAAAAAAATCTTAAAATTAAATTTGAAGACAACTGCGTAGGATTGAAATTGGGTGGCAACTTTGCGTGCTGATACACGTCAATATAATTGCCATCGGGAAATGAACAGTGGGGTGTATACATAAAAAAATGTGTAAAACTAAATTAAAATGAGTGAACTGTAAGTGAACTGAAAATGAAAATCATAATAAAAACGCGACACGAATAATAAAAAAAGTTAAGTAAAATAAAATAAAAATCTAAAGAGTGAAAAAGGAAATATGAAAAAAAGTATAGCAATGAAAAAAATTACAGGAAATGAAATAAGTAAATTACCTTATCGCCTTGCTGTAAGCCATTCTTTTCAGCTGGTCCCCCGGGCACAGTCCAAACAATATAGGCAAAAAGTCTGCCGTCAGCACCGGTTTTGCCACCAACCACACGCATACCAAAGCCGCGTGCTTTTTTTTCCAATTATTTTGGGTTTTTAGGATTTTTGTTTAAAATTTGATGAAAAGAATATTTTGAAAAAAAAAGAAAAATGTTATTTAGTTCATTTGGGTTAATTTAAAGTATATAACATAAGTAATAAAAACTTTTATAAAATTAGTGTTCATATTTTTTTTTGAATTCTTATGAAATTATATGAAATGTTATTATATTAGATCAATGATTTAGGCACAACTGAGAGATTTTGAATAAATAACTAATTTTTTAAATTTGATTGAGATTATTTTAAAGTATTCTAAATTTCATGATAAAATATATTATAAATTAATAATAATATTTCAGACATGATATTATTATCAAAACACAATCGAGAGATTTTGAATAACAAATTTTCATTTTAAATTTAACTGAAAACAAAAAAACACTCATACGCCACCGCATATAATTATAACTACAAGGCAGGATTTATTTATAAAAAATAACAAGTTATGGATTGATTTTATGATTCTAATAAAATACGAAGTAAATATTTAAAAATTGATAGTTATCACTATTTACTGATAACTATATAAAATGAAATTATAATAAAAAAAGCATAAAACATTTAATATTACTAAACTTTCATCAGATTCATTCATATATCTTACGTAGAAAAATTTGTTTTGTATCGAATCAATCAAATCACCAAAAAAATAGTATAATATCAATTATATGTTTAATTTAAATTTTAGCAGACATCGTAACATATTTGAATTTATATCATTTTTAAAAGTATTTATTTAAATATTCTGACTAGTTTTCGAATATCTGTGGCATACCGCAACTGTCTTAAATGCCAAATAAAATGGTTTGAGCTGTCAGTTATATTACATGAAGCATATGCTTGTAGTTGTTTTAGTGTTTTTAAATTTTAATAGAAATAATGTGTAATTTGTTGTTATTTTATTTATTTTATTGGATTGCACAATAAAACCATTCAACCCTTGTCTTTGTTTCCATAGACTTTTATGGGTATTTAACATGTATTTTATTGACTCGTTGTGTACATTTATTTTATATTTTCCCTTCTTTAGTGAAAGTTTTCCCCCTATCACATTATTTATTAAAGGACTTTGCGAAAATATGGCTTTTTAATTCTGTTTGTTATACTCTTGCCAAGGATATGATTGTGAAAGGAATATGTTATGGTCAATAAAACTTGAACTAGGAAACAATTTATTTATTGCATTAAAATGCTTATTCATTCAATATGTGGAACTTGGTTATAAAGAGATAAATGGTAATTATTAAATTTTTAATGATATGTATTACAGATACAGCTGATTTTATATATATGTATGTTAGATATATATGAAATAGTTATTATTAATTGGGATAGTAAAAGACTAATATGAATGATTTATAAAATAAACAAAATTTTGTAAAATTATCTGAAATATTTTAGAAAATCAAAAGGGTTAAATAAGCTGTATTAAAATTACAGTAATATTACTGTTAAACGATATTAGAAATAAGTAAGAAGAAGCACATTTGCTACTTACTAAAAATAATTTATATTTGACAAATCTTTGTCTTTAGATCGACACTTAAAAACATTAATATTTAAGAACATTAACATTTAAATTTAATTTTTTGGGAATATGTGAATTTTTGTTTAAAAAATATAAGTTCGATTCAAACGACAATAAAGGACAAACGCTGTTTGATAGAAATTTCGTGGGAAGGAAGAAAAAAAAATGGTGTTTGATAGAAATTCCAAGTGAAGAAAGAAGAACGGTGTTGAATAGAAAATTTGATAGGTATTGATATAGGAAAAACATAGTAAGAAAAATTTTGAAAAAATGATTTTGCTCTAAAATATTATAATTAAACACTTTCCAAATAAAAACAGACTTGAATTCATTAAAGTATATCTATCTACAAAAAGAGGTTAAAGAATTAAACTGCAGATAGTGTCGTACGCAGGATTATGCCAAGGAGGTGGGATATACTAGAAAATATTTTTTTTCGATAGTGCTTTTGTATCTCACTAAATGCTTGCTTTTTTTTAATTGCCAAAGTAAGACCAATTTGCTAATCTTCCCCTTTGAATATGGCACTGAAAACAAGTTTATGTATTTTGTTATATTAAAAATGAAAGTAAATATTACAAATTTATTGTTGAAACGTAGTTCAAATTTTAATATATTGTTTAGACCTTGCCTTTACATACGAAATTCAAAATCATTTAATGTCTTCTGCGGGATATTTAAGAATTCTTTTTAAGGTCATTTCTGCTAATTTACAATTAATCAATAGCTTGGCAATATCTTGACGATTTTTTCTCAAGTTATCTTTAAACGTTCGGTTTCAGGATTGCCCGCATAAAAATAACTTTTTTTGTCAACACATAAAAAAGCTATAGTACTGACAGTCGTTTACTTTTTGATAATACACCTCAAATCAAAAATCGAAAAAATTTAATTCTGGGATTGTTTATGAAGACAGTTGTTCATCCAAACACAATATATTCTTCGAATGTGAGCTTTAAAGAAGAATGAAATAGATCATCTAATCTAAGCGCAACTAAAAGAAACTTTATCAATAACAGTGAAAGCAGCAAACTATCGAATAATTAGATATTAAAGTACCTTAGCTTTTGTTATAAGATACCACTTGGAAAGGTTGAATAAAATTTTAGAACATTAAAAAGTTTGACTGCGGAGTATCTCAATAACTAAAAGATAAGTTTTTTTTCTTTAACTCGGATGGAAAAAGAATGAAGAATCGTCTAAACAATTTGAATTTTATAAGACTTATTGTTATTGATCCAAATTAGCCTTTTTAGATTAAATTAGATCAACATAAACTTAGTAGTACCGAATAAGAGAAGTTTTTTAGCTGCATAGTAAAAACGCTGACGTTTTTCTATTGTCTCTTTAGGTATTCTACAGCATGGATTTCAATGATATGAACATCAGACTAAAAAATTGTGAACAAATTTTTCATTTGGTCTTTAAGTTGAATCTAGACTTTTGGGCGCTAGCATCATTTTCCAGCCTTAAACTATTGTTTCACTTGTGAATCTCTTTCGCTTCTTTTTACTTGTTGAATAACATACCTACTACATAATAGAGGCATTATAAAATATGCTTTTGAATAAAGTAATTGAATACAAAACTTAGTTTCAAATTTTAAATTCGCTTTTTGTACTATTATTAATTTTAAAATAAAGATGAAAAGAATTTATTTGTTCTATACTGAAATATTCCTTGAAACAAAAAGTTTCAAAAGAAGTTTTTATTTAAAAAAAAACACTAAAACTAAAGAAAATCAAGAAAATCAGTACAAACATTTTGTTGGTATTATTGTAAAAGTGAATTTTCGGATTAACGCTGCATAATAAAATAGTTTTAAATGTATTTACTTAGAAATGTTTGCTATGTTAGCACATAAACCAATCTTTTATTTTACTTTTTCATTTTAAAAACATGTTCTATTCCTTAATAGTAAAAAGTTATAGAAACTAAGAAACAAAAACTTTTAAAAATTTATTATATTGCTTTTTAACTTTTTTTTTTAATTTTTGTAGTAAAGTCTCACTTCAACCCAGTCATTCTACCCTCATTACTCCAATAAAGGCAAAAACGTTGACACCCAATTAGGCTCATAAAAACTTTTTTAGTAATTTCTTCTCAAAGTTACAGTTTCCGTTAAGACCCTTAATCAAAACTTCAACAAAAGCGCATACATATTAACTTCAGCAACAAATAATAACAAACAAGAAGTATGTATATTCTTTTAAATAAAAAATAAATTCGAAAAAGGAAAATTTGGACTAGAAGACAAAGGGGAAATAATTAAAAGAATATTTTGACAGATGCTATTCAGACTTCAAAGTTTTTCTTATTTTTGTAGAGTATTTTTATTATCTAATGATAAGCAAAATGATGAGGAATCAAAATGAATTGGAGCAATATGTAACGATGTACATTGATGATGTTATATCAAGAAGCAAAAAGTTGATAATTGTTACATTAAATAGTAAATTTTGTGTAAAAATGTTAGCATCAATTTTATTCAAACTTAAATTTTAGACAGAGTTATTCATAATGTCGAAGACGTTATACCTATTTCATTGGAAATGTGTATAAATATTAATTATCTTTATTGAAAAATTAAAAAAATTATTTAGAGGAGGAAAAACACTAGAGTTTACCTCGTCATTAGGAAGCTTCATCAAGATTTAAAATTTTAGTTCTTTTAAGCACTGATATATGGTCAGGATTTCCAATAAAAGTTGCTAGTAAATTTCATATATATACATTTATGTGGATAAATAAAAAACTTCTTCTGATTCGACTTCTTATATCAACCATTAGTTTAATATAATTTATGAATAGTTACTTAAATTTAATATATTCAGTTAATTTATATCGTAACAATGTATCTGCAAATGTGTGTGTAATAAGTATAAGTATCCGAAATGATTAAAAAACAATTATAAAAAATTATTACTCAATTAATATTTATATTGTTTTATTTAAAGAAAGTTCTATTGATTACAATGAAACCACGCCAGGATATTTGACTAAATCCTACTTACATTCTTCCTAAGCTGATTAAGGTATGATCGCAATAGTCTTAAAATACCCTTTCTTAAGTAATAATTTTAGCTTCGAGAACAAAAACAAAAAAAAAACAGAGCCAGGACAATGAGGCAAAAATTAATTTTCAATATAATTTTCTATTTTTCTGGACGACTTTTACTTTATACTAATCATTATATTGTCAAAAAATATATAAGTTCTTTAGGAAAGAATACGACGACCGTATTTCCTTTTCAGGTTAGAAGTTAGAATATTTCTGCGTAAGTTACACCTTCCGTAAAATGTAATCAAAATCTATTATAATTGGTGGCAAGTGTCGTGGACAATAGGTTGTCCATAAGGAAATATTATGTTGGCTATAAGTAACACCTAAAGTTATGCAGGAAGAGTTTTAGCACCTATAGAGAA